AAACCGAGATACAATACATGGACGCGCCATAATTTTTTCTCAAAAAAAAAATCATCTATTTCCTTGATTGATGTAGATAATCGAGAGGTAAACTAATTCATGGTACATGATTTGAATTCCAGTAACTTCAATTTTTATTTATATTTATTTAAAAGTTATGTCTTTATTTTTATTTTATTTTTTATTTAATTATTAAATAATATATTCCTTCTGTTACGCTAATAATAGAGGGGTATGATACACATATTTAACTATAAAAGGATTCATTCACTAAATTTTACCCTACAACTAAATCATATACAATTGTTCCATACTCGTAAGTAAAATTATTTAGAATTGATTGCAAGACAGGAAAATTCTTTGGTTCTGTGTTGTTGTTCTTCTAACACTAATCTTGAACAAAATGTTTTTCTGTTCTTGCAATTTATCTTAAATAATGGTGTTTTGTTGTTGTTGTTTTTGTTGGTGGTGTTTCCACCTCTTGCCAATGTTTAATGGAAAATGAAACATTATTATATTTTAGAATAACTTGCCAATATTGTCAATCAAAGAAAATATTCTATAATATATTTTTCTTCGGTTGACAATATTGAAAAATGTATTTTTAATCATATTGCAATTTGTTTTGAGTATAGTGCTTTATTTGATTATTGCAATACACATAGAAATTGATGAATGGTGAAAAAATTGAAAAGGGAAACAATACACATTTCTTTCAATTAAAAAGGGAAAAATAAGACAGTTTTGTTTCACTATATCTTTGTCATCCATAAATAAATATTTGTCATATATTTATTGAGCATCAATGCTCAAGACACCACCAATACATTAATCCATAAGAAACATTATTGATCAGCGTGAAACCATCACGACATCTATTGAGAATGGAAATGTCACACTATATATCTATATCACATACAACTTGGATCACAAATATTGGTACCAAAAACATTAGAAATGAAAAAGTTGAAACTTAAAGGACCGTGGAAACAGTCTTTTTGATGGACTGCAAGAGCAGAAAATAGTAATTATTCAAGATTTGTGTTCTTTACATAATCTCTTGTCATTAGTTTCCTTATCTAACATTATATATATATATATATATATATATATATATATATATATATATATATATATATATATATATATATATATATATATATATATATATATATATATATATATATATATATATATATATATATATATATATATATATATATATATATATATATATATATAATAAATTTAAGAATTTTATATTCACCAAGATTCATAAGGATGATGATGATGATGTTTCAAGATTTACATTTAAACAAAAATAATGTATAATTATGAGCATTTATTTCAATGAAAAATGTGAAACAAAAATATATGAATAAATATTGTATTGTTATAATTTTATCATGCCCCAATTAGGGGTAGCTTACGTAAAAACGAAGAAGGCCCACGAGGGTGCAAGGAACCCAAGGAAGCCACCGGCCGCTCAAAATGGGTCATGAGGCAACCAATGTCTTAGTAACCGCCCGCCATTGGGCTTAGCCCACATGGAATCTTTCCCACTTATCTAGTAAACATAGGAAATAATGTGTCCCATTATAACAGACTAGAGGAATGGGTCAAGGGAAGAATAACTCCTTCCTACCCATGATCTAGTAGTGAAAGGGAAATAACCTCCACAGAATCAGACCACATGCTTTTATAAATACCTCAACCTTAGGGTTAAGGGGACAAATTTGAACTAAGATAAATCTTAAGCCATACAAATAATTACATCTTAAAGCATAACATTCATCAAAGAACATATATCATATGATCATACCCCTCAGAAGCTTATACTGAAATACATCATCCATCAACAGGGCATCTCACCTCACGTGAACGGGCCCCCTAAACCGCCATAAAACACCACCATACAGGGCTTCTCACCATTGTGGGAAAGTGTTAACCACCAACAATCGTTATAAACCTACTAAAGTCTCTGAGTCTCATGCCTTTGCAGGAGGAACACACACATATGTACTTTTTGACCAGTATAGTTATATATATCCTTCACCTCAGGTATTTTTAAAACTGGTAGAAATAATGGTGTTTCCATTAAAATACTTAACTGTTGTTGTTGGAGTTTGAACCTATTAGTACTACAATTTATCTCTCAGAGCATCCAAGACCGAGGGAAAGTGTCAACTTTTATGACGTCCTTCGTTACCTTGACTATGAAACTGAGGTAAAACTCTTTTTTTCAATCGAGGTAAAATGTTTTAGTCATATTAGTGTTTATACAACATACTTGGTTCCAATAATTATCCTGATGATAATGAAACGCATAACACTAATCCTTCTACTTATGTATCTCTTAGAAATAGACACGGTTCCACATATTATTCTGATGATAATGAACTATACCAACTACCTGCTTTAAACAAAGAACAAAGTTCTAACATTAATCAACATTTCTTTAACATGTATCATAGTGTTATGTTGTCTAATATGCCCTTCTCCCCATCAATAAATGGTAGCAAGCTAGTTGGCCCCTCTCCTTCAAAATGATCATGATATGTTAACTTAGGTAAATATTGATGGTAGAATACAAAAGTAAAAAAGCTAGGTTAGTCTCCAAAGGTTATCATTACGAAAAATGTTTTGATTTCACTAAGAATTTTTTTCTCCAATGATTAAGACAACAACAATCTGATTAATTTCCACTCTTGCTATAACATACGAATGGGAAATCCAACAAGTAGATATTAGTAATTCATTTTTGAATGGTACACTTCATAAAGAAGTCTATATAACTTAACCTCCTAGTTTTGTTAGTTCTGATAAGAGTCTTGTCTGCAAACTCCACAAAGACCTCTATGGTCTTAAGAAAGCACCAAGGATTTGGTATGAAAAGTTAACTCAAGCTCTTCTTCATTTTGGATTAAATCATTTTAAGTGTGATCATTCCTTATTTGTGTATTGTCAACAAGGCATTTCTCTCTATGCTCTTATGTATGTAGATGTCATGCTTATAACTGGATATAGCTCTATCATTATTCACAATCTAATCAACAAAAAAAATGTTGCATTTGCTTTAAAGAGACTTTACAGACCTTCATACTTTCTAGGTATAAAGGTTAAGCTTTCGAGAAATTATTCTCTATTACTTACACAATCTAAATACATAAGGGGTCTCCTTTTCGTGGAAAATATGGACAGTGCTAATGGATTTCCAACTCCAATGCTTAGCACCGGCAATTTGAGGAAGCATGGCTCGTAGGTTTTCTTTGATCCTTAACTTTATAGGTCCATAAAAGGTATTTTGCAATATGGACCATGAATAGACCAGAGATAACATTTAGTATCAACAAAATTTGTCATTGTATGTCTTCTCCTTTAAATTCTCATTGGGATGTTGTTAAAAGAATTTTGCGATATCTTAGTTGCACAATGACTCATGGTTTTTGTTATCTCCCTATGTTTTTGCTCAAATGTTTTCACTCGGGAATTATAGTGATTCAGACTTGGCATGTGACCTAGATAATAGAAGATTAACCTTTGGTACCTGTATATTTTTTTTCCAAATCTAGTTTCATGGGATTCTAAGAAGTAGTCTCTAGTTGGACGTTCAAGCACAGAAGCAGAATGTCGTGCTCTAGCACATTCTACATCTAAACTTCTTTGATTATAAATCATATTAAAGTATGAGTTGAGTTTAATTCATCTCTATAAAACCGACTTATAAAATGCAAGATGTCACTGAATATAAACTCTTTTTAAGACTCTATCCTTAATCAATATGAAATTTGAGATCTTCCTTATTTATCCTCTTAAGTTCTACATAGTAAAATTTCATCTTAGTGTTATTTGCATACTACCTTCCAAAATTTCCTAGCCATTTATTTTTCCTTTCAAGCTTTCCAAAAAGTGATGCCCACAAAGTAAGATTTTTTCACTTGATCCAAAATATCACTTATCTTCAAATGTTCATTAGCACTCACGTTATGAACTACTTTCAATGCTATCCACTTAGATGTTTAATATTCAATAATTTGGAACACAAGTGAGTGGCATGTCACATCTTTATCATGTATGTGTGTTTTCCTCCCACTTGATTGGTGAGGACCACAAATTAAACCACATTTTCACTTATATATCACTCTAAGAAACTTTTTTTCAAATAATCAAAATATTCAATTTTAATATTTAATTAACCAATCTGTTTTTTTAGAATTTCCAATCTAATCATGATTCAAACAAAAAAAATAGAGTAAAAATGAGACGTTATTTAAATTAATGTCTTCTAATTTTTTTTTTACTTTTTTCAATTATCTGTGGACTTAGTTACGAATTTGATGTTACCTGCAGATTTATTTGCAGATTTATCTGCGCGTATTTGTCTATAGGTAAATTTGCAGAAATATCCACACAAAAATTCACAGATACTACTAAATTCGTAGGTAAATTCAGAGATAATTGAAAAAAGTAAAAAAATATAAGAGACGCTAATTTAAGTGACACATTCTTTTTAATTTATTTATTTTTTTATTTGAAACATGGTTAAATTAGAAATTATCCGGAAAGATTAACTAGTTGGATATTAAAATTATAAATTTTAATTATTTATAAAAAAATCATCACTCTACCATTGACTTGTCATTTTTTTCACATAAAAAGCCACTCATGTCATAATTAAAAAAATAATAATAATGCCTATTTTTAGTACTATATGAAAAAAAATATGCATATAGATGGCTCTGGAGACCTTGTTTTAGCTATATGTGGTATATTAAGGTTACCATTGTGGTATCTATATTACAAACTATTTTGAATTTTGACATATATATATATATATATATATATATATATATATATATATATATATATATATATATATATATATATATATATATATAATGAAGAAAGCCATAAAGATGTCTAAAAAATTTTTCAAAGTTATGAACTTGCATATCCCATGCAATAACATAAATAAAACAAACATTAAAATAGTAATCTCACTACACCCTTTTGGTTATCTTAACATTGAGACCTTCTTTTGTGAGAAGTACAATTGAAAGAGTTGGAGTAAGACGAGTTCCTTCCTTAACATGAACACAATAATTCCACAAAACAGAAGCAGTGACCATCTTAACTTGAAGGAAAGCTAAGTCTCTTCCCAAACAAGTCCTAGGTCCAGCATTAAAGCTAAAGAATTTGTAAGATGGAACATAAACATTGGCTCCTCTTTCAGAAATCCACCTCTCTGGCTTAAATTCCATGCAGTCTTTTCCCCAAGTATCTTCAAACCTTCCCATTGCATACAAAGAAAACAAAATCATCTTATTAGGATAAACATGATGACCACTTGGAAGTATATCTTCTTTAACAGCTTCCTTTCTCTCAAATGGTATAGGTGGAAATAGCCTTAACGCCTCACATATAGCACCATGGAGATAAACAAGCTTTTTCGTCTCATCAACACTTAAAATCCAAGGCTTCTCTTTGTGTCCAAAGTTTTCTTTTATCTCTTTCAGAATATTGGTTTCCACTAAAGGATGTGTAGCAATAAGATAAAATAACCATGTAAGCGCCGAAGTTAGAGTATCTCTCCCCGCTACAAACAGATTGAATGCCGAATCTCTTAGAAACTTGTCACCACTTTTACTATCCTTTCTTTCTCCTTCTTCTTCTCGAATCAACGCGGTTAGCAAATCAACGTGTTGATTTTTCTCAGTGTCAACATTTTTGTTACATTTTTTCTTAAGCTCTTGGCGCTTTGAGGCTATACAATCATATAGGAAGTTATCAAATATTTTGCATGCCTCGGTCATTTTTTTCTCTTGGCCAATTTGAAGCCACTTTTGTAACCTCCAAACACATTCCGGCACAATGTGTCTATAGAAGATGGATTCTTCCGCTTGGTTAAAAGCCTTCTCGACCGCAACCTCAGGGAAATCTATGGAAAGACAATTAGGATCCTGTCCAAGAATTATCAAACAAATGTTATCAAACGTGAAGCGGTTGAAAACATCTTGTAAATCGACCACGGAGTCTTTTTGTTGAACAACATGATTCAATAGTGGAATCAAAGATTTCTCAACTTTGTTGTGAATGATTTTTTCTTGAAAAGATTCAAAGCTTCTATTAAAAAGATATTGGAGAAGATTCCTATGGTATTTCCATTGAATCGAATCGGTAGTAAAAATACCTTCACCAAAAGCTTGAAACATTTCGCGAAACAAATCGCCTTTCACAAAGTTGTCGAAACTCTTACTCATAATGTAGTGGACATTCATTGGATCAGCTGTCACTACAATATCCATGTTGGTAAACCATGGTCCTATGAACTCAACTGTTCCACCTTTTTGTTCCAACCAATGAGCTGAAAATTCATGAATTTGTGAAACATTCCATAGGAATCTTGGTAGCATACCAACAAAAGGCCAATTTATGAATGCAGGTGTTTTGAGATTTAGTGTTTGGTATAAACCATATAGAAATATGGTGAGAATGAGTGTGATAGCCATAGCTAGAAATGGTGTTAGCATGATCATTGTAATAGTCAATCAAATTGAAGACGATGTTATTATGTAATGCTCCCAATGTGTCTATATATAATATATAATGTCATTCAATAAGGTGACAAAAGATGATATCAGATTTAATTTATGTTAATTTATAAGATAAGATTGTATTTATAGGAAATAATACGTTACTTTTAGGATAATAAAACAAGATATATTTTAATAATTATAAAAATTTGTTTTTTTTTTAATTTTTTGAATATGTGAATCATCATTATAATTGAAAATTAAATTTTCATGTTATGGACAACAATTTCTAAATTGGACTGTTCAAATAAAACATCTTATTAATATCATACTTATTTTAAATAATAAGAGATAAAATGTATTAATGTTTAAGATAAGATAGTACTAAATGGAGTTAATATATAGAAAGTAACCTCTTTAAAATAAAATAAAAAAGATATTCTAATTATTACGGAAATCTGTTACGTTGAATAATGATTAAAAGTCATTTAATATGAGAGAATAAAAATTAATTTATAAAATATATAATATTCATTATAACTTTTTAAGTGAGAAATATTAAGAGTTCCCTTAAGACATTCGTTAGCAGTTTAAAAATGTATGTTTTTGTTAACTGGGATAAAGTTGTACCGAGTAAGTGTGATGGTGGTTTAGGGCTGCGGGATCTTGAGGTTATGAATTAGGTTTGCATTATGAAACTGGGCAGTAAGATTATCAATGATGAGGATGATTTGTGGTGTAGAGTTCTAAAAGGTAAGTACAAAGTTGATGACAATAGTCGCAATCTTAAGGCTAAGAGTAATGACTTAAAGCTTTGGAAAGCTATTGTTAATACTCAGTCTAACTTTTTGGAAGCTGAATTTTTTTTTTAGAATAATCATGTTTTAAAAAAAAATCGCAAATAACCATGTTTTAGATGATTCTTCAAAGGAGGAGTCATTTCACTTGGCGCCTCCACTAAGCATTATGTCCTAGGCGCCATCCCACTTGGCGCCTTCTCTCTCTTTTAGCCAAGTGAGATGGCGCCTACACTTTAAAAGTGAGAGGAGACGCCATCTCACTTGGTTCCTAGGGTAAAATATTGTTGTTTTTATAAATAATCCGTCCGTTTCTCCGTCATTTCCCACACTTTCTCGCACTGTTTTCTTATTTTTTATTCTGTTATTTGCGTCATGACATCGCACATGATTTTTACCAGAGATGGTTACGTTATCTTCTCCGCTACAAAACCTCCGATAAAAATGAAATTCTGGCACATTCACTCCACGGAGCGCTTGAAGCGGGAGTTGATGCGATGGCTAGATGGAGACATCGTGGAGGGGGAAAAATTAGAAGGATTCAACGAAGACGAACAACAACCTCACATGCGACAGGAAGACCTAATGTTTGATTGGAGGAAGTCAAAACAGACAGCGACGTAATGTTGATGATGCATGGGTCAGATGATATTGTTTTAACAGTTGTAATTTTGTAGACGGATTATCGTGTTTTTTTTCTTGTTCGCGCAATGTTTATTGTAACAAATACTATTAACGAAAAACTCTAATATTTACAACCTAATAAATGAAAGATTTTATGTAATACAATTTTTATGTGGCTGAGGCAGTAGCCCGATTCGGACAATTTTTGCGATTGTGTCCGACCTGACGACATAAACCACACTTTCTTTCAAGCTTGTCAAGGGAGTCCATTTCGGTTGTGATGCGCTTACTTTTGGGACGACCCTTTTTATTCTTTTGCATTTGGTCATTGTGCCATACTATTTCGCCATCGTATGCAGGCCAATAATCTGGTTTTGCTACCAAAGGGAAGCTGTTGTTGTAAACGTTGAGCAATGTTTCAGATTTGTAAATGTGTGACAGAAGTTGTAGCGCGTCTTGATGAGTATAGGCACATGCGGCAATGACATGAGAGCAAGACATATGAAAGGCTTGAAACTTGCCACAATCGCACCAACGAGAAGGTAGTACAACCCTATATTCTTGGCTTGGCAGACCCTCGTTGTGGTCGATTGTCTCTTTGACAATGAAGTTGTGGCTGTGTCGGTCAAACTGTATAACCATATGGGTGTTGGCTTTGGCACTTTCTGCCTTAATGTACTTCATGCATCTTTCACTCCATAGTTGTCCAGATTGCAACACCGCATTCTATATTTCACCTCTTTTAGAAAACAACGAAGCCATCCTAAAATATGTTGATTTTACCAAAGCAGAGACCGGGAGGTTTCGTATGCCTTTGAATACCCCATTCATCGATTCAATGAGATTTGTTGTCATGTGGCCCCATCTTTGGCCATTGTCGTATGACCTAGTCCATTTTTCTACCAGAATATTGTCGATCCACCTACCGGCTTTTGGATTTGACAAACGGATCTCGTTGCGATAATATTTGAACGTAGGTTGTGTCAATGCATATCCCGCATTCATAACTGCTTTCCTAAGTGTTTTGTCTTTGATCTCCCTCTTGAAATTTTGGACGATATGTCTAACGCAATAGACATGCGTATAAGGAGGGTCATGCCAACCGTTTGCAGGATTATTGTATGCACTTTCAATGGATGCATGTCTATCCGAGATCAAACAGAGATCTGGTTGAGGAGCCACGTGTGTTCGCAGATTTTTGAGAAAAAAGCTCCAAGCACCACCAGTCTCCCCCTCGACTAGGGCAGAGGCAATTGGGAAAATGTTGTTGTTGCCATCTTGTGCAACTGCCATCAGTAGCGTGCCTTTGTATTTCCCATACAACCAAGTCCCATCAATTTGTATAATTGGTTTGCATGACGCAAACCCTGTGATACAAGGTTGAAAATCCCAAAACATTCGACTGAATATTTCATTTTCGTTGAGTTGGACTTTGGGTGTGTAATTGGATTGGGCATTAATTTGACAATGTAAGCATAACGCGATCGTAAATGCCACATCATCATAGGTGCGAAATCTCGACTCGAGCTCAACACGAAAAATGTTGGGGCTGAAATTTTTGACGTGTGGACGAAAGAACGGACTCAATCAAATAAACAAAGAAGAATTTATGAATTTTTGAGTGCGCACTAACACTGAGCAAAGTCAGCATGCAAATTTTCCATTAATTCACCAATCAGTTCTGGAAGAATGCCTCGAACGAAAATCCTCTGATCAGAATTCGAACTCGGGGTCTGAAGAAAAATTCTAGATGACATCATTTATGAAATTATTCCGAAAGAATCATATTGATAAGATAAAAATCGAAGAAGTTACGATTTTTATAATATCGGGAAATGATGAATTAAAACTCTGGTTGAGCACAATATTTTCACTAGTAATCCATGATTATGGGGACTTTCCTCAAAGAATTAGCTCTCGACCCGAACATACGAAATGAAGATAAAATCAAGATGGATTTTTCTCCAAAAGATAGGCTCAAAAACATTGATCCATGAGAAAGTTATGAATTTTTAAACATCCGCAAAATAACGGTTCAGCACAGTATTTTTACCATTTTTTTACCATTTAGCTTCAAAGTACTTGCGCGTTCAGAGATCTTCTTCAAAGAATTAGCTTTCGAGCCGAACATGAAAGTTGGAGGAAATAATAATAAGATTCAAATGCTCCAAGAGGAACTCAAAGATAATACTCCAGCCAAAAGTTATGAACTTTTGAGCATCCGAAAACCAGAGAAACGGTAAATCCACTATATATCGCAATTCAAATATTTTTCTCTTTAGAAAATCCTCCTTGCAAAATTAGCCTTCGACATGAACAGGTGAAATAAAGAAGACCTCAAGACGGTTCTAACGACTGAAGAATCATCCTGAAACCACATTCTAAACCAGAGTTGTGAATTTTTGAACTTGAAATGCACCGTACTGAATTTTTGTCTGCCCTGTCTCAAATTGACTGAAACACTTGACTTTCTGCACAATTCAAAGTATGTTGGAAAGTATAAGAGTTTTATATGATGATGACTCGCTTGGTTTTCGATTGGATAACTTGGAACACGCGCAAATCGCATAAAAATGCGGAAAACCCTGAGTTCTGCTTCAAAGTGCTGCTTAACGGAACAATCATTTTTCAACTCTTTCTTGTAGAGAGATACCTCGATTCCATGAGTATAAACCTATGACATGAATGGATGCATATGGTAATGAAATATAATCCCGTTTGGGGTACAAAAGTGCGATTTGCAGATTATGTTATGCTTGTGTAAAGTTGTTTTGTGCAGGGAGATTATCTTGATGTGATGTGTTTTCCGCATGGGATTTATTCTAACACAATAATGTTTTTATTCTTATACTGGATATATTTCCTGATTATTTCTCTTTTGCTTGGTGAAGCTTGCACGAAGATCGTCGGGTTAATTTGCTTTGCTTGCTACCAATGGGCTCTTGTTCGTTTGGTATTGTTTCGATTCTGGTTTTGATTCCACATTGTCTTTTATTTTCCTTGCCATGAGAAGTAGGAATAGAGATGCATGACTGGAAGTCCCTACTTTAGATGGGAAAATCTGTTTAAAGACATTTAGAAGGCAATTTTGTTCGTGCATATTGTTTTGTTTAAAAGACCTCGATGAAGGCAATGTTTGTGTTTGTTTGTGTGCAAAAGATCTCGACGAAGGAAAATTCCACTCCCCTCCATTTTCCATTTTACCTTGTGTTTTCTATCAAGTTAATAAGTGGTGTAAGGGCTCGCAATCGGCCCCCACAATTTCAATTCCATTGGTCGTTCTTAGCTCGTGTTATACGTTGATGCTTTAAACCGTGCTTATTCTTGTCCATTGATTCAAATAAAGTAGAAAAGGGTTCGTAACCAACCCCCACACTTTGTCATTAGTTTTGACGATGTTAGCTCAAGTTTCTTTAAACATTGACGCTTTGAGTTATTACTCGATATCAGTGCTTGAGCAAATCAAGTGGAAAGAGTTCCTTACTCCCACTTTGAAATTCATTGGATTCATTGTTTGTTGCTAGCTCGCATTTGATTTTTGTTTTGGTTTTGTTTCGACTTTGTCCTATTGAACTTGTGTTT